TCCGTACTTGATTACAATTTTTCACACAAGTGCCTGGTGGGCATCAATGAGGAGCCTGCTGTTTCAATTTTGTGTAAGTTCTGCCTGGTGGTTTAAAGTAGTAACAGATGCATTGTTGCACCTGTGTTTTATTTTACCACATAATTTTAAAACTTGTTATCTCACTTTGGAATTGCCGGCGGCAATAAAAAGTGGGTAAGAAATTATTTAAATAAACTAAACTGAACTGGGTGATATCCAATGTGAGTAATCATCAGAGTAGATTCCACGGACTTGATTCCAGTGGGTCTACTCTGAGTATCACTTAGCTGGGAATCATCCACTGACATGCAGTGGCTTCCCAAGGTCTTTTGGATGTTAAAGGTAAAGGGACCTCTGACCATTAGGTCCAGTCGTGACTGACTCTGGGGTTGCGGCGCTCATCTCGCTTTATTGGCCGAGGGAGCCGGCATACAGCTTCCAGGTCATGTGGCCAGCATGTCTAAGCTGCTCTGGCGAACCAGAGCAACACACGGAAATGCTGTTTACCTTCCCGCCAGAGCGGTACCTATTTATCTACTTGCACTTTGACGTGCTTTCGAACTCCTAGGTTGGCAGGAGCAGGGACCGAGCAACGGGAGCTCACCCCATCGCGGGGATTCGAACCGCCAACCTTCTGATCGGCAAGTCCTAGGCTCTGTGGTTTAACCCACAGCGCCACCCGCGTCCCTCTTTTGGATGTTACAGTTCCCTAAAGATAACCATTTAGAAGCATTAACCTAGGCAACTAAGGTTCAAGCTTGAGCATTGTCAGACGCACATTGGAGAGTGAACTAAAAGATTCGAGTTTTAGTATTTATGCCTTATATATTGTACTTAGTTCTTCACTCTACATATTTACTCTCCAAACCCTAGAGGTCATTTGTCTTCACCTTCAGAAATTGCATCTGGCAGGCAGTTTTCCAACAGTAGGGGATTCCTGGATAATTCTCTCTTTGTCGTCAGGGGGCACTGTTGAATTGTTTGGACTTCAGCTGAATCTTCATTCTCAGTTTTTTTTATTTCTTTTTCCATCTTTGGGATCACAGGGAGTTTTTGTTTGTTTGTTTGTTAATTACCAGAAGAGCAACTGATTCTTCACCAGCTAGAAAAAGATTGATGGTATTGTCCTTCCCTCATTCATTCACAAAGATCTATAGTAAGATCCATTTTGAAAATCTTGACCCATAGCTTGACTTCTCCAGTCTTAGGCGTTCCAGTCTTGAAGACCGATGTTCACGACATGAGCAGTGTTCCTGTGTGAGGGTCAGGAATTTAGAATGTCAGTGATGCCTCACTGGTGAACTTCAAATATTTTGCCTTGCAGATTTTCGGCTGGCTTTTGTCCTCCCGCTGTTGCATTGCTGTGAGATGGCTTAAGCCATGCTTTAGTTTAGTGTCACCTGAATCTAGGCTCATAATTTCTCTTGCTCCAGACAAACTACATGCAACAAATAAGGTTTCTCTCCAGTTTATAGCTCAAGGTTTTTCTGGAGGAAGCAACTCATGAGCCCAAGCTCAGGCAACATGCTAAGCCAAAGCATGGCTTACTCACAGCAGGACTTGTGGATGAACAAAGTGGCCTCAATCTGGCAGCTTCCACACTCATGCATTCCCATCAAACCATGGCTTGACTTACGTGTAAACTAGGGCATATAGAGTTGTGGTGGAATCAAGCCTTCACATTGTGATTAGGGCTGAAGTCTGTCCAATACCCTATTAAAAACAAAGCAACTGTATTGGAGAGGACCCCAACAGCCAGACTCTCTTCTGAGCTGATCGGTAGAGTTCTGTGTACATACAGAAGTTATCAGCTTTTATAGAGATGGTGATGTTATTACAACTTGATTAATTAGAGATCACAAGATATTAGCTGGGGGGAAAAGGAAAACACCATTGGTGGTCAAAAACCCTTCACCTTTTAAACTTTATGCTGACTTTATGCTTGTTTTACACTCTAACCATGGAATTTAGATAGAAAATGGCTCAAGCCTATGCAGTCCAAGATCCTTGCAAACCCAGACCTATACATTTGGTTCCATAGGCAGCTCTTCTAGTCCCTTTAAGAGAAGGAAGTATAAAAGACAGTCTAGAAGGAAGTATAAAAGACGGTAAAAAGAAAAGTTGACAACCAATTCAGATTTTGATACGAAATGTTTGGAAAGCAGTAGTCAGCACTGGGAATGCGAAAACCAATATGCCTTGAGGTTGCAATCACAGCCAAAGAATCTCTGACAGATGACCATCCAACCTCTCTTGAAATACCTCTACGGAAGGACAGTCCACCACCTCCCGAGGGAGACTGTTCCACTGCTGAACAGCTCTTACTATTGGTAATTTCTCCCAAATGCTTCATCAGGATCATTTGAATCCACTTGTTCAGGTCCCATGCTCTGGAACAGCAGAAAACAATTTCGCTCCATCTGCCATTTGACAGCCCTTAAGACATTTGAAGGTGGCTATCATATCAGTTCTCCTCTCCTCCAGGCTAAACTTATCCAATTCCCTCAACTGTTCCTCATAAGACTTGGTTTCCAGACACTTATCATACTGGTCACCCTTCTCTGCAGACCATCTAGCTTGTCAATATTCTTCTTGAACTGTGGTGCCCAGAACTGGACACAGGACTCCAGGTGGGATCTGACCAAGGCAGAATAGAGTGGTACTATTACTTTTCTTGATCTGGGCAGTATACTTCTTTTATAAGAGGCTCAGCTGATCCCTACAGAAAGCTCACACACTTGCTTACTTGTTGGTGAACACTCACAGCCATTTGCTAGTTTCACATTCCTTTTCCTCGGATGGAAAAAAGGTCTTACTAGTCAATGTCACAATGGAGATCTTTGTGTCATCATTCAAGCCAACAGTGCTGGTTGTATAGTATCTAAGATCCTGAACACAATGGGTAAGGTAGCTGACCATGGTTATAGAATAATACTCGCTGTCTTGAGCACTGCCCTTTCCTTGGCCCTGTCTTCTATCCCTTAGCAGTATGCTATTGTTTTGGGTAGGGAATCATCCCTACTTCCATCTCTCAGTTTCTTGGGATTTGCATAGAAATAATCCATCATTAAACATGCCAGACAGATTTGTTACATTTATATTTAGTATCTCAGAAACATGGGACTGAAAATCAGTAGAATTGCCAAGGTGACCTAGTCATGTACTAAATGATGCTGAAACATTTGTGGATAAAGGTATTAGACCAGATACTGAGGAACTGATGGACTCAACCATAGAGACTCAGTTGAGCAGATCAGAAAAAGAAATAAATACACTTGCTTACTTGTTGGTGAATGCTCCCAGCTGTTTGCTGGGTTCACATTCCTTTTCCTCTGAGGGAAGAAAGGGCTTACTAGTCAATGTCACAATGGAGAGGTTTGTGTCATCATTCAAGCCAACACTGCTGGTTGCATGTATCCAAGATCCTGGGTAAGGGAGCTGAACATGGTTGCGGAATACTGTAATACTCGCTGTCTTGAGCACTGTCCTTTCCTTGGCCCTGCCTTGTATCCCTTAGCAGTACACTATTGTTCGCGGTAGGGAATCATCTTTACTCCCACCTCTCAATTATTTCTTCTGTCAAGAAGGATGATTCCGAAGGAGCCCTCCACTTTTACTTGTCCAGGGAGGATGGGTGAGAGAGAGCCAAAGTATAAGAAACAGAGAGACCCCCCCAAAAGGGAGGGTAGTCCCCCCAAATTCTCCCAGTCACAGGAACACAGTGGGAGGAAGCAACCTGACACTTCATTCTCATCTCGTAGCACACCAGCAAGAGTAACTACAACCCCAGACGAAACCAGAGTCATTATCCCAGGAGATGCTGGCTTCATGCAATGGCTGCTTTTGCTTACATGCTGATCTTCAAGCAGGCCAATCCAATCCATATTTATTTGGGGATAAATTCCACTGAATTCAGTGGGGCTTTCACCTAAAGTTAGTGGGCACAGGACTTCCTTTGCAGTAATTCTAAGCACAGGGAACCATGCCTGGCACGCCAGATTTGTACAAAAGCAAACACCCGGGGGGAGCCAGAGCCTGGGTCACATCCTGGTCCAAAGTGGGTCACAGCAGCAGCACTATCACCACACAAATATCTGGGGAAGAGGGAGAGGGAGAGGGAGAGAGAGAGAGAGAGAAATGGGTTCCCCAATGCACTTCGGGGTTAAAGGAGAGTCCTGGATTTCAAAAGGTTGAAAACTACTGTCCTAAGTGATCAGTTTGCTGCTGGTTTGAGATTTGTACAATTTGACAACAACGATGCTCTAAGTAGACTGAAACTAAATTCCACAGAATAGGATTTATTGTAAGGATGCTTTTATTCCCAAGAAAATGTGTGAGAGATGTTAGAAAGGGGGGGACAATGACCAATAATGGTAACATTCCTACCAGATATCTAAGTTAAATGGTTATGCACTTAAATGGTATTTCAGAGTACTCAAAGCACTCCACCTATGTAGTTCTTGTTTGGATGTAACAAACTATGTTTTTACATTACATGAACAAGTACAGGGATGGGGAATGTGTGATTCTCCAATTGTTGAACTCCCATCAGCCCAAGGCAACGTGACCAGGCCTTCTCAGAGGCCTGGGGAGGCTCATAGACCCCTTCCAGCTTCTGAGGCCCCATAATAATAAATGCAGTCATGGAAATATGACAACATGCAAAAACAAAATGAGGCATGTGGGCGGGGGAGGAGGAAATAAGACATAATTTGATTTTTAAAAAAGAATACTTTTCCAGTCTCTTTCTGTGCAAATGCACTTATTCTTGAGGGGAAATCTTGCTTACATGCAATGTCACATTTAGCATGTGGCAAAATCTGCATCACTTAACAAAAAAGTAATGTCTTTTATCAAATCTCATCTCTTATTTGCTTAAATTTGCAGTTCTGAACTTAGAGTGTATTGCAATTTGATCTGCTGTACATAAAAACAAGTTGCAAAATTTAACAAGTGCCTATATTTGAGGCCCACTTTAAGCTAAATTACCTTTCTCCAATTGGCTCTGAACATGGCAAAGGGTGAGGGAAGATGGGAGGTGTAAGCCAACACCTTCTAGAGCAGCTGTTCTCAACCTGTGGGTCTCCAGATGTTGTTGGACTACAATGCCCATCATCTCTGAGCTCTGGTCTTGCTAGCTAGGGGTGATGGGAGTTGTAGTTCAACAACATCTGGGGATCTACAGGTTGAGAAAGGCTGTTCTAGAGATCACAGGCTTTCCGTTCCTAGCTTACAGTGTAATCCTAAACATAGCTACTCAGTAGCAAATCCTATTTAATTCAATGGAGCTTATTTCCAGTTAGGTGGGGCTAAGATTGCAGCCTTACTCTTTTAGCCATGCTCAATGCTCACAACTGCTTTATCATTGGGAAAAAGTTACAGGAGTGTGGGTACGTCATATTTAAAGCAAAACAATATTCAAACTTAGCTGTATATCTTTTAATTAAGTGAAATGCTTATGAATACTGAAAATTCAGATTACAGTACATGATCTTAAAGAGGGGAAGAACAGCAGCAGCCTATTTGGCAATCAGGTGTCAGGATTTCAGAATAATGGCCAATTTAATTGGCTCACTCAGAAGCTCAGCATTCACCAGGTTCCATCAATTTTGTTGCTTGGAATTTGTTTTCCATACTTAGAAATTGAACCCTACAGTCAGAAGAGGAAAAATTACTTTTAATCAACATGCAGATGGGGGGGGGGTAATACTCTACTAGGCATGATTTTTCTTATATTAAAAAAAAGTTTACAAAGATCAACTTGGTATATATTTTTTAGCAAAGTCCATTTCAAATCCTTCCAGGAAGTATTTGACTAGTATAATCAAGACCCACTAGTATGTAAGCAGCAACTCAGTCTTTGAATTCATGTAGCTGATGATCAGATAGGACAGATCCAGTTAAGTACCCAGACAATGAGAGTCCCTCACACAGAGGCACAGCGCACCTAAGAAAAACTAGAGGTGGGGATTCGCCTTTTGCTTCCATGACCACAGCTGCACTGGCAAAAACATTACTGCAAACTTTCTTTTTACCTTAAGGCTTAATCACATCTAGCTTCAGGCTGCTGTCCCCCAAATAATTGTCAAGCAGGACACTATTATTATTTTGCATAACGAAAGGCCAGCCTTTGGTTATGCAAAATAAGCAGTGGGAAAACTGTGGCCCTCCAGATATTGTTAGCCTACAATTCCCATCACTCCTGGCCATTGGTCATGCTGGCTGGAGATTATGGAAGGTGCAGCCAACATCATCTGGAGGGCTACAGGATACTCACCTTTGCAGAAGATCCCAAATGTACAGATGAAACTGTCTGCTGTTGAAATCAACCAAGTTGTTGTTTGTTGAAGGGCAACCAAGTTTGCACATGAGGCTTTGGCATATAGGCAGCACCATATCTGCCTTCACAGTAATCCTTGGGCTGGAAGATACAAATAAAAATAATTCCCACAGACTCCCATAGCCATATGCTTAAGATGGCAGAGGGGAAACACTGACATTTCGGTATTCAAAAGCTACACATCCAGTATTTAGCGAGTCTGCACTTTACTCAGCAAGTTAACAATGGCTTCTTTGGTAAGGAACAAAGTCTCATTAGTATTTTGATTGCATACTTCAAATAGAGAAGGCTCATCCAAAACCTTCTTGCCACCTATTATAACATAGGGGTACCCAAGTTTACTTGCATCTTTTAATCTTTTACCAATGGTGAATTGTGTCCGGTCATCCAGTACTATCTCCTCCTTAAGCCAAGGGGCTGCTTCAACAATACAGTCATATAAATCATCCAGGAAATTGCCCCTTTCTCCTCCTTGCTCCCTCTCTTTGGGGGAATAAGGCAGACTTGATAGGGTGCAATGAGGCTTGGCCACCGAATGGCGTCCTCCGTAGAAAGCACCTCAATGGAGGCTGCAAGAATCCGAGTCACACCCAGCCCATAGCAGCCCATTTCAGCCGGAATATGCTTATTTTCTGCAGTGCGGACGGTAGCGTTAAAAACAGAGGAGTATTTTGTGCCCAAGAAGAAGGTATGGCCAACTTCAATCCCTTTGTACTCAGCTAGTTTCCCTTTGCAAACTGGGCAATGCTTCTCATCTGGGTTTAACGTTTCCTCATTGGCTGCAAAGTCACAGCCTGTGCACATCATCAATCGGTCCTCACCAACGTCAGCGGGCAGCTGGAATTCATGAGACATCGTCCCCCCAATGCTTCCAGTAGCTGCTTGGACTTTCACAAACCGAAGGCCTAAGGTGTTGAATATGTTGCCGTAAGCGTTGCACACAAGGGCATAGGTCTGGAGGGCAGCTTCCTTAGAGGTATCAAAGGTGTACATATCCTTCATATAAAATTCTCTGCCACGCAGCAACCCAAAGCGTGGTTTTGGCTCATCTCGAAACTTTCTTGTTACCTGGTACAGCAAGAGGGGAAGCTGCTTGTAAGACAAATGGCCTTGGGAAGCGATTAGGTCTGTAATGGCCT